GTACCTCCAGTGGGAAAAGCCGAGGCAGCACCGAAGCAGACTGCTGCCGCTTGTCACACAGGCAGCAGGAGTCAACCGAGGCCATACCCGTCATTGTTGAGATCCACCACAGCGACATCGTAGCCAAAAGAAGAGGCCAGCCCCTCTCCTTCAAACATGTGCTCCAGGGAAAGTGCCCTCTGGTTTTTCTCTTTTTTCAATAGAACAACTGCTCCGCTGTGGTTGGCTCGTGGGGCGCCAGACACAAAAGTCATCTCATCTTGGGAGACAATTCCTTTACCAGAGTCCAAAGAGAAACCTTTAACAGAGAGAGATATAAAATATAAACAAACTAACTAACAGCTTGTGTTGTTACCAGGAAACACGAATTCCCCTGCTATATTGAAGTAGTACACTGAACACAAGTTTTGTCTACAACAGAGTACGATGGGCTGGGAAATCTCCATTTCACTTGGACTGGTGGATGCATGTTCACAAGTCTGTGCTCCTCCATATATCACAGTTAAGTATTTTCCCCACAAAACTTCTTATTTCATCGCTCATTCAGATTGACTTTTCACTGACACCAAATACAAGATCGTTTTTAAACATACCAGCTTAGAAATAACTAAACTTTACCACTTGAATATAGCTCAAGTATTTCACCTCCAATAAAAGATTACAAAACTTCCTAAGCACAAGTCAGTACCGTTCTACTGCAAACATGCAAAACGTGCCACACGAGCACAGCATTTCACAGCAATGATGTACACAGTATTTGAGAATCACCTTGTACAGTAATGGTGAAACTGGCAATTTGGATTTAAGGCAGCCCTAAAGGACACGTTCAGATGAATTTGGTCTTACGTATTCTTTATAAAAGTCCAGACGTTTTAAAAAAACCATGAAAAACGGTTCAAAGAATACACTGCATATACCAACATATCCAAGAAAGGTCAAAGTGGAAAATAACACACATTGCAAGGAATAAAGGTAGTAGCCAGCAGACGGAAATCTCCCTTCTGAAACACTTCACCACTACTATGAGAATTCTCAATTACAGCAATTCACAGTGAGACACTTCCAGAAAAAATCAGGGAGTCCCATCTCGGGGAGGGATGAGAGGGTCTGAAGAGATGCATGACGAATCAGGGTTTCTCTGAAGCAATGTTATTTTGCAAGCTCCTCCTCATCCGAATCCCTGCTTTTACATGCTTTTACATGCAGTACATGTGAGATGAGGGGGGATGGAGGGGAGAGGATCATGTAAAGGTCTGGAGATTGTGTCTGACCAGATGCTGCCACCTCAGGTGGTCACAAACCTAAATAGCTATTCATCATTACATCCACAGGTTTGTCCAGCTGTGTGCCAGGAGGCAGTGTTTTGTACACAAACTGATCTGGGTGAGTATCAGATACAGCTGTCAAAAATAGCAGACCTGTAAACACGAGCGAAAGATCGAAGAGAAAAAAACACAGTAGTTAAGCAAAGCAGCTATAACCACATTTATTTACTGTCTGAACAGAGGGAACAGCAACGGCTGCCTGCAACTGGGCTTGACTGTGACAAATCAAAGGCGGTGTTTACATTGGGGAGATAAACCCATTTGTTATGAAACTGCAAGAAGCCAGCACTGCTCTGTTCACAGCAAGTGACACCTCCACAGCACTCCTCACCTCACCAGTTCTGATTGCACCAGAAGAGGCTACTGGCTTGTCTTTCTAACGTAAGCTCTTACGATTTTTTTCCACCCAGTAATTTCTGCTGGTATTTCACAGCAGTGTATGTTTGTTTCTTCTAACAGACACGTAGCTCGAAGTTGACTCTTTTCTTGACTTGATTTTTGTATTACCAAAAACTTTTCAGCTTTCCACACAGAGATACCACAACTGTATTTGTTGCATATGCCAAACGCAGCGGATCAATGCACCACTGACATCTGCACTAGACCAGAAAGGTTCTTTACACCTGACACCTGAGGTTGTTCCAAAAATGCAGCGTATCTCAGTGCTGCACAGTGACATCCTCTGGCCTAAGGACATATTTTGGCTTTTGTGAGTGCACAAAGTGCAAGACACTCACCTCCTGCAACACACACGCTTAACACAGACACACTACTCATATTCTGGTATTTTCAGGGCCTGTAAAAAGGCCACCAGAGTTTTAAAAACTTGAAGAATGGAAAAAACTTGCACTCATGGACCAGGAAAGAAAAAACCACAGTTTTAACAGTTACATCCAGAAAGTCAAATTTTTATAAGCCTTCTGATACCACATGGCAGAGACCTCAAGACTAAGGACTACAGATCCACACAGTGCACTTCACCATTGGAGCAATTATAGCCACTCCCTGAGAATCTGCAGGTCCTCGACACAGCTCTTCAGTCTCTCATGACATTGGCAGCTCTTCAGGTACCTCAGCAGAGCATCATCTTACACTCAGAACTGGCCCATAAACGTGGAGGGAAATGTGAATTATCCAGAATGGTTAAGATGTTACAGGGTCCACAATTGAAGGGTTTTCTACTCCCATTTCACATCATTGCCCCAGGCTGGGATCACAAATGTTTAAGAAGCCCAAAGAAATGTACCGTATGTGCTTAATCCTACCTAAGTAACTGTTAGCAGGAACAGGAACTAGATTCTTATCTTGGCGGCTCTCATCACCAACTTCATAAGGCCCATCATCAAAGATACCCAGATCATAAAATGTCTGATTCTTTTGTTCTGCACGAACCACCCCTGAAGAAATGAAATGATAAAATAAAAGCAAATGAATGGTAAGGGAGAAAAATAACAGATCAATGGTTTCCAACTCAACTTAACTACAATGAATGAGACAGTGACTGCTGTTTAAATGGGACAAACACAGAATAGTGCACTGGGTGAAAGCCTTTTCAAAAGGCAATGAATTTTTAAGTTGTAGGTGCGTGCCAGAATCTCACGCTGCTCTACAGAGAGGCCATGCAATGATCTGAAAAACATGAGATACTCAACAAAAACATGGGTCCAACTTGGCCAGGAACCACCCTCACCCACAGTTCTTAACCACTTAAAGCCTCTCTTACAAGGGAGGCAAGCACACAGGAATAAAAAACAGAAATACTGTTCATCTATGACAAACACCTGTGATGTATTTAGAAAACATTAGTTAAGGGGAAAAGAACCATTGTTCAGTAACATGTGAGCTTCCCTTGTAGCAACAGGCATATTTAACATCTTGGCAAGCATAAAGATGTTTTTCCACGATACAGAAGAGCACTTTTATGACTGATACACTGCAATTGCAGAGAAGTGCTATGAAAGTAAAACAGCGTCTGAACTCAATACGCTATTTCTGCTCGGGCAGATTTCGTTGACGGATACGTGGAAGATTAAGTTTTCACTGCAGTACACGTTGTACCAGAGCTTAACCCAAAAGATTTTGCATGGGTCATATAGCAGGCACAGGTGTACAAGGGGGAAAATGTAATGGTTTGAGGATCAGATGTTCTAAAGAGGGAAGTATTTACAGCTGTTGGTGTAATGAACTGTGACGGGAAAAATCACTTCACAAAACAAAGACAGAGCGGGCCATTCAGATGATTCTCAAGAAGAAAATCCATGGGGTTTTTCCTTAACTGAAGAGTTTTTGAGTATCCCCTAGATGACAGAGTACTTGGCTCTTAGTCACACAGATTATCCGTGGAATTTTACATGGATATCTACGGACTTAAATATGAATAAACGTACTACTGCTCTGTTCAGTCTTTTTCCTGCAATCCATCAGCATTTGGGAAGTACTACTTTCCACAGACTTCACAAGTAATCAAGTGGAGAATACTGCAGGATAAACAGAGATCTCAGTGCAGCTATCTAACATTTCCTCAATTGCAGGAAAAAATGTGGGTCAAGTAAGTTTAAAATAACGTAATAATTTGTTCCAGTATGGAAGTCTCAAAGCAAGCGCTTAATTCCACCAGAACATTAAGACTAACGAAGACTGATGCATACTGCTGTACAGATGTGCAACGTGCCATTATCCATTCAGAAGTACTCCCTCAAATGTATTTAAAGGAACTTCAGTAAATATTTTTCATACAGAAGCACACGTTGTGAAAACAGGCTAAAATCATTAGATCCCTATTATTTCCTCCCCCCCCCCCGCCAAAAAAAAACCCTTAGGGTGCAACCCTACTGAGCAATCTCAGAGGAAATGGGAAGGCAGGAAGGAAACCAGGTCGTACCTTTCCAATTGTAAGTGCCTGGGGCACCAAACACAATATAATGATAGTCTCTAGTGAAAGTAGCAGCAACACCTTGCTGACAGGAACCAAACTTCTCATGACCTCTTAAACGACCATCACAGAAACTCCATACTCCATTATCCATATCATCCTTAATAGTGAGATCCTGGCTCAGCACATAGCACCTTCCAATGATATCCCGGGTCTCCTGCACCGTGTTTACGTACTGCCTTTTTTCATAGCGATGCGCACATGTCTGCAAGAGAGAAGAAACGATGAGTGATGCTCTCTGTAAGCTTGCATGCAAGTCATCAAAGAAGGCTGGTGTCCTTTAGCAACACTTCCTGCTAACAGTGCTGTAACTATGTCACCTTGCAGACACATCCATTTTGCAATGCAGAGTCCATGGCTCCCTATGGGCAATGTATGTGAGAAGTTGGACATCTGTGGATACAAGTCAGAGCAACCAGCTTCGTGGTCATGGAAGACCTCGTGGTTAAATCCCTCCTTTCTGTGAGATTAAGGGGTTTTAGCCCTAAAGCCTTCCCTGATACCTAAATCTCTCAAGAAGTGAGGAAAGAACACTCTACCTCTCATAAAGAAAGAGGTGGCTGTGTTTCACCACAGATGTCAGAGTGAAATGACTTACACACTTGTGCTGGACATGAGAAGCCGGTTCAACTGCCATCTACCTGAGACTACTCAGAACTCAGCCCTTCCAGACAAGTGCCACAAAGCACAGGCTGAAAGCTTTTCCAGTGCAGGGGAGGGAGGTTGTGCCTACTTCCTACACTGGATGTTCCACTTACAGGATGACTGGGACTAGGACAGAGCAGCAGCACTGAGCACAACCCGTGCCTTCACCTTTTAGACTGTCCACCTAGGAACAGAATTCTCATCCAATATTTACCACAAGGGATTTAGCTTTGGGTTAGCTGGTGCAGCCAACAAACCATTCTAAAAAGAGGTGGAACAACCCCTTGCCAGCTGTGTTTTTTGCAGAACCAGATGCAGTAGGTGTGTGAAGAGCACAAGCAAGTCAGGTTTCTCAGCTTTTCCATGGCTCCTACCAAGGCTTAAACATTAAGCCAACACCCAGCTGCTCCACACAGAGCACTGCGGTACTTCCTGCTGCACAGTGACCTTCAGGCTGCCCACACTCATCTCCGTAAGTGCATTTGCCACTTATCACTTACAAAGAGAAGCTCCTTCTCAGAAAAGACAACACAGAATTAGTTTATGATTAATTAATCAGTGAGCAGGACTCCTGTCTGTTCTCCTTCCCTTTGGGTTCTGAGGCAGACTGAAGCAAGTTATTACTGCCTCTACATCCTTAAATAACTCCAGGTTCACACCCTGAAGTCGCCTGGCTCCAGTTTTGGAAGTAGTGACATTAACCTGCAAGAATATAAGTAGATGGGGAAGCCTCACTGCCCACCCATTTAATGATGTAGCTGGTATCCTGCAGCACAGAGAGGTTCATTTAACTGAGAAAGAGATCAAAAAGTAACATTCTCTGGTAACTCCTGAAATATTTTTCTCTCTGTATTGTATAGAATAAGGATAGCTAGTAGCCCTAGTGCAGTGCAATAGCCACATTAATTCATAGGAGCAACTCAGCCAATGTCCCCAGTGAAAGTTTAAGTGAGACCGATCACATTGGAAAACAGGCTGGTGACAGTCTGCTGCTTTCTCAACCTCATCACACTATTTTTTCCTATTTCTGTAGCCACAAGTATTTAAAAGAAACAATGTGTATATCACAAAAAAATAAGTGGGCACCCTGAAAAGGAACTGTCCATCCTAGCTTGTTACAAAGCTTATAACGAAAGGCTAACTCGGAGTTAGGAAAATAATTTAAAGCTTTTACAATCTTAAGTGTCTTACTTTGCTAGGGAGACATTTAAGTCCTTACCTTACAAGAAATCCCAGAGGTAATCACAGGAAATTTACCATTCAGAAAGCTGCACAGAAATGCAGACCACTCGGAACATTTACTATGGACCTAAAATGTTTTTGTAAGTTGGTCCTGTAGACTTACCACCACGTTTCCTCCTGGCCCCTGACTCTGGACAGTTACACCCATCCACTGGTCTTCTTTACTCTCTGTCTTTGGGTCGGCTGCAGAGATTACAATACACCTTCAAATATTAGCAGTTTACTACTCTTTTTGAAGTCCCCGTCAGGAGAGGCACTTCATACAGTACATGAGACAGTCTGCAGATGGCAGTGTCTATACATTTTAGCACTGACAACATCCATTTCATTAAACACTCCCAGCAGCATCATACTTCACATCCCATCAACTTACAGAAGAACAAGAGCATCCAAACCTACCAAGGTTTAGGCATTTCATGCTATCTTAATTAAGCTACAATTTATCTGATGCCAAAAAAACCCACATATAAATCCATACAAGCAACTGTCCCGACACAACTGCCTCTAGGAAGGACTACATCAAATAAGAGAAATCAGACAACTGTTTCAGTCCAAAACAGAAGCACTGAAGGACTTACTCTCCTCATCAAACACGACACGCGTGCAGCGCGAGTTTGGAGATGCGATGTCACAGCTGTACAACCCTCCCGTCCTGTTGGCTTGCTGGGCTGGAAAGGCCTTTTCCCGAGGAGCTCCAACCAGCAATCTGCAGGGGAAGAGAAATAAGTCATAGCAGAAAACAGAAAGGCAACGGAATCAGGAAGTGTTTTCACCACGGTGCTAGAGGTTTGATGTGCAAACATTTGAAGATGGATGAAAATCTGCATCACAGCGCTGTTCCTTAAAAGGAAAAAAAGGGAGGGAGCTAGAAAGCAGTAATAGTTCTGCAATTATTGGACCAGCAAACCATCAGATATATTGGTATTACTGCTATTATTGTCGCAATGTTCACTGAAAGTGGTTGATGACAAAAACTACACAGTACGTGTCTGGCAGGTTTACATAAACCATCCTTATACCAGGGAGTCAAGTGAGGTATTTTTCTGCCTTACCACAAATTGTTGGTAAGGCTGGGACAAGTATTGTTACTAAAAGTGACCACAAAACCCCAGAGCCGTGAATGTGAGTGCTTTCAGGCTGTCTTGAAGGTTTACACCAGTCTTGTGCCACTGTTCAGCTGAATTTACAGGCACCTCAACATCTCCGACCCATGAAACAAAGCAAGATCCCTCCCGGCCCCAAGCAAGCATTCACTGAACTCTTCCAGGCTCTGTGCAAACACGTGCTCCCACTCTCCGCTCCGGGGCCAGATGCTCCGAAACAAAGCAAGATCCCTCCCGGCCCAAGCAAGCGTTCACTGAATTCTTCCAGGCTCTGTGCAAACACGCGCTCCCACTCTCCGCTCCGGGGCCAGATGCTCCATTTTGAAGCTGAAAATGGTTTTCTCCAACCAATCTCTCATCAAGAACAGCCCATTCCCACAAAGGGCATATTTCTCCTGTAAAAAGGCCACTCTAACAAGTCCTCCTCAGACACTGATCTGGTAACCAAATGTGAAGGTTCTTCTTTTAAAAACTGCATAAAGCAATTTTTTTTTCCCCATATCAACAATCCCTCGTGAGTATCATCATCAAATCACCAGTAGACACATTTACTTGCAAAATAAGTGCTTTCAGCCAAAAAGCTTCTCGCACTTCCTTGACGCGTCACACACACTCAAAGCACAGCTAACAAACCAACACCAAACCAGTGCAACCGTTTGTGGAAGAAACATCACGCTCAGCTGAAAAAACGAGGGTGAGAGAGCAGCGTGTGGACGGGCGCAGGACAGCAGGTCTGATGGCTGGAGGCTGAACCAGACCCCGTGTGTCTCCTGACCCCGAACACAGCATTTGAGGGAAGAGATCCCCGACATTCCAGGGCGAAGGAGGGCAAGGCTGGGACTGCAGCTGAACCCACGGGGCTCAAAGAGGAGCTCAGACCCTCTTCAAGGCTTCACCTGTGGAGTTTTGCCCAAGAGAAAAGCTTTTCTGCATGCTTCATAGTGGCAGTGGGACAACCAGTGCTGTCCCTCAGAATGCTTCTCTTACTAAAAACAAGACTCACTTTTATTCCTATCTAGCAGTTAGGACTGGACCAGTTAAGATCAATACATATTTTTCATCATTAAGTAAACATATATTCAATGTCACTAAACTAATGAGAAACAAAATGAAGCTGATGTATTGTGAGAAAAAACACGTTTGTAAAAACCATAAAGTTACCTCTGTGTTGTGAACCAGCCACGTGTTCACTTCTACAGAAATAAATTCTACTCCAGTCCATCCTGTGCCCTCATGAAGTAACCCCCTGAATGGTGCAACTTGCAGGTAAAACATTTGCTTTCCACTGACACACACGTACAACCAGAACAGCAGGGTGGGTGGGTTTTGGTTTAAAGTGTTTCCTTCTTTTCCCCCTACATATGTCTGGCATCTTTTTCAAAGAGTTTTTCAGAAACGCTGCAGTCATCACAAGAGTTTGTAACCTAAACAACCACGCTTTTAGAAAGGCCATTAATAACTTCATCTTCTAATTTTGGCAACAGTGCGTTTAACCGTAATCTCTTGGAGCAGTTCTTTTGCAAAACATCTGTTTCAGATCTATCCCTAACGTGGGAATAGACACATGTTGTCCTTAGTTCTGTTATCCCCCAGGGAAAGACAGATGAGATTTTTATTTTATTTTTTTTTTAATATATTAACAACCAGAAACTGAAGAAAGTAGAGGCACTGATTTCCTACCTTACAGAAAATCCTATTATTTCTACTTTTTTTGGGGGGGGGAGGGGGTAGAAATTATGTCTTGAGTTTCAGTTACAGACACTCGATGGGAAATCTTTTGTTTCAGCATTGTGAACATAACTAAAAGCTTCTGAAATTTAAATACTTCACGTGGTTTCATTCACCCATCTCACACTACTGACAGCAGCAGTGCTGGATCAAGATGATGATGGCCCTGTTTGTATAGCCTGCCTGTACCCTCTCCCCAGCCAAATGGTACCTTTTCCAGCACACCACGATGTGACCATGATCTTGCTGGCAATTCAGCCAGAGGGAAGACCTACTTAGGCATCAGGGAATGAACAGCACAGCCAACAGAAGTGGAAAGATGTGCCCCACAGGATGCCCCAAACATTCAGTGGTGTATCAGACAGACACCTGTTGAGATCAATAGGTGAAAAATGCAATTGTTCAGCTTTCTTAAAAAATCAAATAAAATCAAATAAAAAAGAGTCAAGCCAACATGATCTCAAAGGAAACAAGCGACCTTAGACTTTTCCCACACCCTCTGTCCAAATGTTGCATGTATTATTTTCCCCTGATTTTGTGTAAGTTATTTTCCACTGTAAACACAGGATTTCAGAGTTACTTAAAACCCTCCAGCTTTCAAAGAACCTTTGTCAGGAATCCTGTCACCGGTCTTGAAGGCTCATCAAACACACAAATCTTGAATCCTGTTAGGTGGATCACTGCGAGTCCTTATTCACAGCACAGCTCAACAGAAGCACACACGATGAGCAGGCGCTAAGATCAGTTCAGGGAGATACTATGGCAAATCCTGAAAAGTATTCGCAAGTAGCAGCTGAAGACCCATTAAAAAGCAGCGTAACTCCCTCGTACTTCCTTCACTACTTATCTGCCTCAAAGACCACGGCAGAGCAGACTAAACCTATGCTTGCAGGTTCTGCAAGACAGGTTACTAAAGATGATGAGGATTATAAACATTATGAGGATTATCAACGTTATTAGGAATGGAACTAAGAAAGTCACATGCATCTAATCTTTGGCTGAATAAATCAAGCAAAGCATTGAAGTTCCTTGTCAGGCATACTGTGATGAGCAGAGCTGCTGTTCACCTTGCCTACTGTTCAAGAGGTATGTTTGAAAAATCAGAATTCTATTAGAGAAGCCAAATTACTTCGTTTAAAAATAAAAGTGTACGGGAAACTAAGGAAGAACGACACGGACCATGCACCAGCGTGCATTTCAGCATGACTGCAGCAGTCCAAATGAATCAGCTCGCACGCTGAGCTGTGCGACGTGCTCCGAGTCCTTCCAGACTGAGGACACATTCCAGTCATTACTGTATGGCTACTTACTTGGCTGTGTTTTAATAGGAGAATTTTAATCAAGTTTGAGCTCATTATGCCAAAAACGGGTTAGGTTTTTCTGCAGCTACATTCGTTCCATTTTAGCTCTCTCAGTGGCAAGCGAAACATCTATGTGCAAGAAGGAAGCGGTATGGGGGGTGAGGAGGTGCTCTGCTACCTTTCACTGTTTCCTTATATTGGTAGATGAAACACAGAGATTAAAACTGAAGAACTTCCTCTGCAAAGACTGAGAAAAATAAGTTCTTCATTTCTCTCTGCCCATAATGACAGTAGGATTCATTTTACCCATTGGGACTTCTCCCTGAAAGCGTGCGAGGGCTACAGGCACTACCTTCGATTCAGATCTAAACGCCCCAAGTCGGGCTCCAGGATCCATATCTAGAATTCATCCAAAATAACGCCCCGGTGTCAAGACTGCAGAGTCAGAGATGGAAACCCCAGAGACTCCAACATGCAGCAATTTTCCTGTTTTTCTATCCCACAGCACCTTTGCCTTACTGCTATGCAGAGAACAGAAGCTCAGCCGTAGGGTATGCTGAACATACACTGTCTGAACACCAGTTCCTGTTGCAGTCTTGGCTTTTTATTATATGGCTTTTGATGACTTGGTATCTACTGTTTACCATATGAGTTAAAAGTCAGACCAAAAAATATTACTAGTAAATAATAGTAAATTATTTTTTATCCTCAAGTAAAGCACAGTATCAGATGCTTTGTACCACTTGAATCCTGATTTCCCACATTCATCTTGTTTAAATATATACTATGAATGGATTAGTTTTCCCTGAACCTGTAAGACTGCATAGGTGTTAAATTAACTTCTATAAATAGTTCATTACATTACATTTCTGTAGATTAAAAGAAATGTCTATCAAGTTCCAACACTGGAAGGCAATCAGAGTTCTCTCATACCCTGGCACAAAGCTACAACGCTCTTTTAGCTCCTGTTATACCCCATAATTAAAACATGTGCCTTCCAATTTCAAACTAAAACTCTGATTTCAAACCAAACAAATCAGTTCTGTGGCTCTACTTGTCGGAATTAGAGAAATTATTGCTTTCTCTTAATTACTTCTTGGAGATATGTGATAATGGCTGAAGTCCCACTGCCAATTATGCGCATCTGCTGGCTTCCAGGGACAGATTTACTCCCTTACAACCCCGGGTTCATGGCCAAACTTGAGATAATCCTGTAGGATTAGAGCTCCAGGATTGGCATGCAATGCCAGTTTAACTAACTGACCTCCCCGAGATGCAGTTTTGGCTCAGGTGGATGGTGCCCCCTTTACAAGGACGTTGGTGACCCCGGCTGTACCCACACGTGCAAGGTGCAGCCACAACACGTGACAGGGACGGGCATGAGTCCCACCTGACAAGGAGAGCGACCAGCGCAGCACCACATCCCTCTGTGTAACCCAGGCCACCGCTACACCCACCCCACCTCACTGCAGCAGTACACTGCACCCCAACAAAACAGCTGAGGCAAGAAGAACTCCGTGCCATCAGTTATGCTGAGTGCTACTCAGGCTTCAGAAAAGGCATCGGCACATCTC